GGCCGCCCCCGCCGCCTCCTGCCCGCGGTGGCCGCGGCCGCGCCGCTCGCGGTTTGTTTGTTGTCGCTGTCGCTGTCGCGGCCGCCGCCGACACGTCCGGGCCGCCGCCGCCGCCGCGCATGCGCCACATCCGGGTCCCGCGGCGCCTGCGCGGCGCGGAGAGGGGCGCGGGCGGGCGCGTTGTGTTTATGGTTGGCGGGCGGCGCGGCAGCGGGCGCGGGGCGCGGGCGGCAGGCCGGGATCCGTGGGGTGGGAAAAGCCCGAGGGAAGCGCAGAAATCCCGGCCCCGCCGCCCCTGGACACACCTGCGGACACGGGAGCTCCGTCCCGCTGCGGAAAACACCGCCGCTCTGCCCAACTTCCACGAAGTTTAACGGGGGGTGGAATCGGAGACAAACGCGCGGCGCTGGGGTGCTGCTGGCGAGCGGCCAGAGAACACACTCGGAATTGAAACAGTTTGTCTTCATCATTCCTGAGGCTCATGCATATTCATCTGCTCCATCATTCAGACTTCCTTGGGAAGCCTTGATGCTGCAGGTTCTCTTCTTGTGCGGTTTTTAACCTCTGACCTGCTGCGGGGTGTGCTGTGGATGAGCTCTTCCCATGCTCCTGTCCCATTATTATTATTACTATTATTATTATTGTTATTGTTATTATTATCGGGATCTCCGATGCTCCTGTGCCAGCCCACAGACGGAAAGCCAGTGCTTCTGCACCATTCCATAAGCTGGTTACACAAAGGTGGTTTTAGTGTCTGTTTTTAGACATAATAGTTTGTCTAAGTTTGTCATAGTTTGCCTATGGCGCAATGTGTTTATTACATTACCGGTCATAGAAAGTATACAGCGTATTCTGACAGATTATACAAATAATCTGTAATAATACATTTTATAAGAAAATAAATGTATTATAGAAATAATACATTTTTTATACTACGCAAAAGAAGTTAAAAGTGTGAGTCGTCCTTACTAAAATGCTTATGGTACAAAACGTTAATCTCTAAATGTGAAAGCCAGTATTGTCATCTGTAAGGCTGGGCAGTTCCAAGGCCTGGCCACCCTTGCCATGGGGAAATTCCTGCTGCTGTCCCCCCTGTCCCTGCCCTGGCCCAGCCTGAGGCCGTTCCCTCTCCTCCTGTCCCTGTTCCCTGGCAGCACAGCCCGACCCCCCCGGCTGTCCCCTCCTGCCAGGGACTTGTGCAGAGCCACAAGGGCCCCCTGAGCCTCCTTTGCTCCAGGCTGAGCCCCTTTCCCAGCTCCCTCAGCCGCTCCTGGGGCTCCAGCCCCTTCCCCAGCTCCGTTCCCTGCCCTGGACACGCTCCAGCCCCTCGGTGTCCATCCTCCAGAGCAGGACAAGGGGTCGGTGGTGCCGGTGCCAGCGCAGGGGAACGCTCTGGGCCATGGGGGTGACCCCAAAAATGTGTCCATGGGAACACAACCCCAAGAAATGCTCAGCCCCACAAGTGCAAAATCAGAGAACACTGAGATGGTTTGGGTTGAAAGGAACCCTGAAGCCCACCCAGTGCCACCCCTGCCATGGCAGGGACACCTTCCAGTGTCCCAGGCTGCTCCAAGCCCTGTCCAGCCTGGCCTTGGACACTGCAGGGATCCAGGGGCAGCCCCAGCTGCTCTGGGCACCCTGTGCCAGGGCCTGCCCACCCTCCCAGCCAGCAATTCCTTCCCAATATCCCAGCTGGGCCTGCCCTCTGGCACTGGGAAGCCATTGCCTGTGTGCTGTCCCTGCAGGCCTTGTCCCCAGTCCCTGGGCAGCTCTCCTGGAGCCCCTTTAGGCCCTGCCAGGGGCTCTCAGCTCTCCCTGGAGCCTTCTCTTGTGCAGGGGAGCAGCCCCAGCTCTCCCAGGCTGGCTCCAGAGCACAGGGGCTCCAGCCCTGGCAGCAGCTGCGTGGCCTCCTCTGGGCTGGCTCCAGCAGCTCCACGTCCTTGTGCTGTTGTTGCCCAGGGCTGGGGCAGCTCTGCAGGTGGGGTCTCACCTGAGCACAGGGGCACAGGGGCACAATCCGCCTCTCCCAGGGACACACCACAGCCCTGCACGCTCCACATCTCCCCCCCAGCACAAGCAAACTCCCCAAAAAGATATCCCTGGAAATACATTTTAGAACTAGAATTTACATCTTCCTGCCTTTGTGGTGCTGAGCCCCCGTTTGAACACGGGAACGGGAAAAGGTGCGTGAAGTATCCCCTGAAAAATGCAACATATTTTTGCTGAATACATGGGGATTTCGCCAAGGGGCTGGCGTGCTGCCACAGCCGCTCCAGTAACAACCAAGAATAAACGGGAGTTTGAAAAATTGTTATATTGCCCTGTCGAAATTTCCTGCTCTCGCTGTTCAGTCACTTATGTCCGAGGATGTAAGCATTGAAAAGCAACATATAATGTTCCTGTTATAATACATATATAGATGTGTTATATATATAATATATATAATGTTCCTGTGTCTGTCTTCTCCTCCTGGGCAGGTGCAATTGAAGTCTCTCCAGGCCAGGATTTGCCGAGCTGTCTGTTCCTGGAGACCCCAGGGATTCAGGGAGGGAGGTGGGAGCTCCAGGTGCGAGGGCAGCCGGACTCTCCGGCCACACCCCAGCACCTCCATCTCTGAGGCACGCGATTGAAAACCCTAATTAGACAGTTAATGAGCACCGTCTCTTCCCACCTTCAACCACGGAGATTCCCTCAAACACGAGGGCAGGAGCTGCAGGACATTAAGCAGGGAAACATCCACATTTCCCACACAGCAGATCTGAACGCACCACGTTAAACTCAGCTTTTAGGAGGGGGAACAAAAGGCTGCTGTGAGCTTTGGGGCAGTGTTTTGGGTTATTTCTCTGGCCCCCCTGTGCAGCAGAGATGTGTCCAGCGTGAGAGGGTTCCAGCCCTGTGCTCGAGGGTTCCCAAACGTGCCCCACAACGCTCCCGTCAGATTTCTGCCCCAAGGTGCCCACCAGTGTGCTGGTGCTTGCCGGGGTGGTGTCGATGGCAGGGGTGCCGCCGCTACCCTGAAGAAGCCGTCCTGAAAAGGACTGCCCAGGGGCACAGAGTGAGCTCAGCTCAGCGGCAGCGTGCAGGTGACACGGAGAGAGAGACCAGAGAGCTGGATGGCATTCCACTGAGAAATAGCCTTTATTATAGCCTTTATTATAGCCTTTATTATAGCAGGGCCCTCAGTGAAGGGAGCCAGGGACAGCAGCTCCTTGAACTGGGGAAAAACCCGGGTATTTATAGGGAAGGAGAGGGGAGGGGGAAACTGGGATACAGGTATCGGGGTGGATTGAT